ATAACAGACTCAAATTTATGATCTTTCCACTTCAGCCTGTGAGTAGCTGGGATGATAGGTATGCACCACTGTGTCTGGGGTGTTCTTTGCTTTTTCTTTTTCTTTTAAACACCACAGCTTTTTAAAAAATATTTATTAGAACAAAGGGGCTGAAGTGGTATTTCAGTGTGGCTGTGATTTACATTTTTCTAATGATTTTTTTTTTTTTTTTTTGTATTCGGGATTGGAACTCAGGACCTTGCGCTTGCCAGGCAGGCACTTATGCCGCTGAGCTATCTCCCCAGCCCCATCATTATTTCTGCCCAGAGCACATTCTCATATGTCTTCTGTTAACAAGCTGTCCTAGCCAGGCAGGACACTTGTAATTCCAGCACTGAGCTGAAGTAGCGGAGAGAACAGCCAGAGCTACATAGTGAGCTCAAGGCCTGCCTGCACTAAACAGTGAGACGCTGTTTCAAACAAAAACAAAAGCAAAAGACAAACAGTTCTTTGAGGAAGTTCTTCTCTCAGGCTGTCAATTACACCCTTTATGCCACCATAAAGTGACCACTGTCGTCACTGGGGAAGGACGCAGGGCTCTGTTTAAACCTTCAGGAGCCTGTGGGATGGTGCAGAGGAACATGGGAGAAAGCAGTACTAACAAGCTGCCCAGCTGAAGCCTCACCACCGACAGCTGTGGTCCCCACCCAGTACCCCCTCAGACGGCAACAGCGGACACAGAAGGTACATACCCAGGTCGGGGCATTGATGATGGAGAGGTTGTAGCCAAACTGAAACGTTCCACCAATGCCAGCTGCACAGATGGTCAGGAGCAGGACCCTGCCCCCAGTCTGAGAAGGCAGAGGAGAGCACAGAGTGACCAATAAGGACCTCCACCTCCTTCCCTGGGACAGACCTACTACTCGCAGCATTGCAGTTCATTTGAACCAGGCAATAAGGTCGTCTTTTTCCAGATACGGAAACGGAGGTATGGGGGCGGGGGGGGGGGGTACCCAGATCACAGGGCCAGGAGACAGCAGGGGAGCCCAAACCTGTTCTGAGGCCAGGTTGCGCCTCCACTCTCACCACTCTTAAAGCTCCCCCCCTCTGCCAGCACACTTCTCCAGCATAGAGCTGCAAGGGGCTGCCCCCGAGCTTGTGAGCTAGGAACCCCGTGTGGAGAAAAGCTCTGTCTCTGTGTCCCAGTGACTCCCCCCAGGGAAACATCCTCCAACAGAGGGGTGGCTCTGGGGACCTGGACTGAGTCTCACCTAACCTCCTATGGTTGGTTCTGCAACTATGCTGAGAGAAAGGGCCAGGTAGTCCCATATGTGTGGGAACTAGGGGGACACACGGGCAGCAGGCAGAAGCCACAGACGGCAGAGGTGCCTGGGCCAACTCTTTCCTGACCGCCTCATACTCTCGGAGTTGCTTCCCGCCTGGACCTGGAGCTAATACTGTCTACCTCCAGGATAGGAACGTGTGTGCCAGCCACACTCAGTACAGTGACGTTCTGTATCCCAGTCAGCCCCTTGGGGTGGGGGTGGGTAGTCCCCAAGGCATTCAGCCAAGAGGACTCAGGGCTCTTATGTTCCATTCAATTTATTTGGCTTTTCTTTTTTTAGAGATTCACAATCTTGCTTTTATTTTTCCTTATAAAAATGTAAGCTGGGCCGGCGAAATAGTTCAGCAGACTAAAGTACCAAACGCAGGGACCACGATTAGTTCCCCGGCACCATGTGCAGTGTCAGCCCCACCCCTAGGGCAGGCTGAGCCAGCCAGAGTCCCGGCATGGTGACTCATGCCTGTAATTCCAATGTTGGGGAGGCTGAAAAACAGGAGGATCACTATGAGTCCGAGCTGCGTAGTGGGACCCTGTAACGACCAAATACTTTTTTTTTTTTTTCAGAACCAGGGATTGAACTCAGACCCTTGCGCTTGCCAGGCAAGTGCTTATTCTACTGAGCTATCTCCTCGGCCCCCCAAAATACATTTTTTTAAAAAATTGAAAGCTGCATAACGGCGCGCTTGGGGCTGAGGCAAGTATGCATAAAACCCCAAGGGCTACCTTTAGCATTAAAAAAAAAAGAAATGAAAAGGAAAAAAAATCGACATGGTTGTTAAGATTTGTTTTATGACTAATCAGAGTCAGAGTTGAGCCTGGAGGAGGACACGAAAGGGTGGGAAAGTCACAGACTGTCTCCTCTTGGAGTGTCTGACCCGTGCAAGGCCCAGAGGATCACGTGGGAATCAGTGAGGGAGAGGAGGTGCTAGACTGCAATGACTCAGGTCCCGCGACTTTGCACCCCACAGTCCTGGGTAGGAACCCTGCTTATGTCCCTCCGAGCCAAGCACCTAACAGGATACACAAGCCCAAGTTTTGTGCAAAAAAAAAAAAAGTTTTGTGCACGATCTCTCATTAGATACATTTGACCCAGGCAAGTTTTGAAATTCTGCGTTTTAGTTTTTTGTTTGGTGTGTTGACACGAGGGTCTCCCTATGTAGTTCAAGCTGCCTTTCAACTCACTATGTAGCCCAACTTGGTCTCAAATTTACAGCGATCTTTCTTGCCTCAGCCTTCCAAGTGCTGAGATCACAGGCGTGCGCCACCACACGTGGCTAACAGCGCTTTTCAAAGAGCAGACGGTTACACATTCGGAAAAGGGGGGGACCAAGGAGGCGCCGCTCGGTACTACAAAGGGGTCGAGGACCATCTGCGAGCAGCAGGCGCGGCGCCTGCGCGCTGGGGGGCGAGCGCGGCGGAGGGCGCACGGAACACGGCGCGGGCGCAGGCGCAGTGGGCGTTTGCGCGGTGCGAAGGCGTCGCCGCAGCAGCCGAGCGCTAGGGCGGTGGGAGCCGGGGGAGGTCTGAGGTGCGGAGCGACCCGCCCGCCGCCTGGGGGTGCGGACGAGACTCCAGCGCAGGCGGGGCGCAGGACACCGGGGATCGGGAGGATGCTGGCGTGCGTCACCTGGGTTCGCGGCCTGAAGGGCGGCTCCGGTTCATCCTCCATGCCGCCTCCGACCATTCACGCCCGGCTCGGCCGGGGCCCTTGCACTTCTCTGCGGAGCTTCGCCGAGAGCTGGCGTGAGGCCATCCCCTCGCGTCCCGCCGCGCACCAGAAGTCCCGCGCGGGCCCGCGAGCTCCCCGCCGCCGCCCGCACCGCGGAGGTCACTGCCCCCTAGCGCCCGCCAGGCCGGAGCCCGCGATTCTGCGCGATCCTCCCCGCCCACAACGGTGCGGCCTGTCCCGAGGAGGACCGGACTCACGGAGCGGAAGACTCCCGGATGCGCAGGGGAGCCCTGGCGAGAGCCCAGCTCCGGGAAGCCGGGAAGCGCGGGCCTTCGGGGCGGACTGCTCCTTGGTGCTCAGCCCCTTGCGGAATCCAGAAGCACAGAAACAGAGCTGAGAGCGACATTCTGAAGTCATCTTGATTATATACAGAATAGGCATGGCGGTATTTCTATTTGGTGTCAGGTGTTTGCTGCTCTGATCTTTAAATAATTTCTACAAATACCATATGGCTTAATAGCGACCCTGTTTAAAAGGGAGTGGGGGGGTGTGGGCCAGATAGCTCAGCGGATTAAAGCGCCTGCTTAGGAAGATGGAGGGAATGGGGTTCGATACCCAGCATGGAGCACGCTGAGCTGGTAATTGACACTGGGCATGGTGGGGTGGACCAATAGTGCTATGACCAGATTATATGTGGGAAAATGATATTGGGTCTGTATCTCACCCCATACACGAAAATCATTCCAGGTGCACACAAACTTATTACAAGAGGCAACTATAAACATTTTAGAGGAAAATATAGAGTATAGCCTATGTGGGGGCCGGGGAGATAGCTCAGTGGAATAAGCACTTCCCTGGCAAGCGACAGGGCCTGAGTTCAATTCCCGGTTCTGCCAAAAAAAAAGTATAGCATAATCTATACATGTTTCTTGAGAGCATTTAATCTTAAAATTTAAAATCTGTATCAAAGGACAGCACTAAAGGGTAAAACTAAAAGCTAGCCACATGATAGGCACGTGTGTAAGGTTCTGAGCTCAATCCCTAGCACCAAAAAAAAATTTAAAGTAATTTAAAAACAAGCTACCCAGTAAGAGAAGTAAAGCACATGACCAACTAAGTATTAGTATAGTATTCAGAATATGTCATGGTTTGGAGTTTTTGCAAGGGGAACAATACAATGCAGGACACATTTTATAAGTATTTTATAATCACCCAAAGAATCATATACAGAGAGTGCAAGAAATCTGTCCCCACACCAGAGGCCAAAGACTCCAGCTGAGGGCCTGGATCCCGATGTCCTGTGTGAGTCCAGCTGAAGACCCAGAGCCCTAACAATGCTCTCACAAGTCCAGCTGGAGGCCTTCAGCCCGTGACAATGTGTCAACGCAGGCCAGCTTCATGGCTCTGCGCCAGGAAGGCCCCAAGGTCAGTGGGGGAAGCTAGAAAGTCTGTGCCAGCAGGCTGAGGGATCTGCACTGAACCGGAGCTCCCCCCAAAAGTACCACAGCCATTCTCAGCAACAATGAGATCCTGAGCTCCTCCAACAAGAACAGCTGAGGGCCAGGGAGATGGCTCAGTAGAATAAGTGCTTCCCTGGAAAGCGCAAGGGTCTGAGTTCAATCCCCAGTTTCGCAAAAAAAAAAGGTATCTTTGGGCTGGGGAGATGGCTCAATGAAATAAACGATTGCCTGGCAAGCACAGGGGCCTGAGTTCAATCCCTAATTCCGCCAAAAAAAAAGAAAACACATTAATGGAAGGTGGGGGGGGGGGTCATGGGCTCATCCTCACTAGTGGATTAACTGGGGGGGGTGTTACAGGCTATCTATATTCTCTGTCATGTTGTGATAAGGATGCAGGTGCCTTTTTTTTTTTTTTTTTTTTTTTT